ACCTGGCACGAGTTGCTCTTGTAATCTCTCGTACAACATTCACATGAAGAATCAGCGTAAGCAACATCAGTGTGAAGGTGTAAGAGGCAGAGCCAGCTCTCAGAACAGCTCATGTTTTTGCATCTTGTCCCACCTTTGCAACCTCAGTGCTGTATGTACATATCTATGTACATATCTATGTATATATCTATGGCTACATATATATATATACACATATCTATGTATGTATACAGATATTCCCAGGCAGTTCTTGTGACCCTCGAGCTGAGGGAGCGTTTGATTCAAGACAGTCACTGCTGGGGGTTCCCGGTTTGAGTTTAACGTTATTGTACCGTTTGTTAGAAGCTCCCACCCCGCCCGTACCCCTCCATTGCGCAGGCAACCCCACCACCCCCAAATATGCCCTTGCTCTTCCGGTTCATTCTTAGGGAGGGCGAGAGGCGGGACGAGCCGGTTAGTGCGGCGCATGCGCCCCCGCCATCTCCCCTCCCGCCCTGTTCGCATCGCGCAGCGCGTGCGCGGCAGCGCCTCCGGCGGCGGCGGCGGCAAGATGGCGGAGCCGGAGTGAGTGGGGAGCTGCTGGGCACGCGGATCTGCCGCCATCGGCCGGAGCGGGCGGCTGCGGGGCCGGGCAGGGCGGCGGTGGGAGCGGCGGTGGGCGTGACAGGCGCTGAGCGTGACCGGCTTCTCTCGCCCGCAGGCAGAAGCGGCGGATCCCGTTGGTGCCGGAGAACTTGCTGAAGAGGAGGAAGGCCTACCAGGCCATCAAGGCCACCCAGGCCAAGCAGGCGCTGCTCAACAAGCGCAAGGTGCGGGCCGCGGGGCCGGGAGGGGGCACTTTAAATTAACAGCCGGGGATTTGCTCTGTTCTGACAGCCAGCAGCGGGGCCCTGCCTCGGAAATGGCGTAGGGCTTCCTGAGGGAATCTGTTCCTGTGGTGTTCGTGGGGCCACGTTGAAACCTCTTCCTTTCTTTGTTGGATACCGTGGGTGTGTTTGTAAGCGTGCGGATGGCTGCTGTGTGCCCCAGGTAGAAGGGGAAGCTTGAGTAATAACGCTCAGCAGTCGCTTCTTAAGGTTCTTCTTAGTAAAAATGACCTTAACTATGGGAGTTAGTCAAGTCTCTGCCTGCTTGGAAAATGCAACCTAATTCCACAGATGGTTTCCAACATGAAAGAGAACTGAAGATGTATACTGTATTAGTTAGTTTAAAAGTGGCCTACTGTTGTAGCTAGTAGTGTATCTGAAGTGTTATTGGGTAGCTGCTGTGTACCATCTCACATGAGAAAGCACTGTGATGTGGGTGGGTGTACTTGATCCTCAACTGAGAACAAGCATGTAAACTTTTGAATTAGGAAAAAAAAAAAAGCTTTCAATTTTCCCATAATTCTGAAAAGAATTTCTTCAAGTGAGCAGGATGTTCTGTATTTAAATTAGTAATAGCATTGAATGCATCTTTCT